GCAAGCAAAAAAAGGTACCATAACACCATAGAACAAGAAAGAACACCCCCGGTGCATCTTCTTCCCTTTCCACAGTGCTCATCCCACTCTTATCGGCAACCGATTGGAATAGGATAGACCAGAGGTGACGGGGGGTGGTTTTCCACCGGCAGGGGAGACTGTAGGAATCCATGTAAGTAAACAACCGCAGACCGTGCAGGACTTCGGTGGATGACGAACGAGAGAGAGAGGGGGGGCATGAGTGGGCATTATGCTTTCTCACGTGACCCGATAAAAAGCTCCTTGCCGTCACGAACCCGACCACCTGTACTCAGAATCATGAAGAGTCACTCGTTTGGTTTCATTTCCCCAGGGATCACATCATGAATGCCGAAATCCAATCCGAGCTACCCACTTACTCCTCAATGCCCTGCCTGCCTCCTAGGTCCTGTGCGTTCCTATATTCTCGGACATTAATGGAAGCTCCCGTACACCCATCGCTCCCCGGGATCTTCCGCCAACAACCTCATGCCATATCCTCTGCAGAACAGGGCAGACTATGTATCACAACCTGCCCACTTCCTCCCCGGGGGACTGGTGGACCACCCCAAGACCCTAGCAGGTGTCACCAAGCCAACCATGCTGCTGCAACACCAGGCACAGTGTTCAGTACGATGGGTTGGACACGATGAACCGTTGTCTAGGATATTGCGAAACGCCGGCCCTCACTTGTCTAGTACAATGACACAGATTTAACTCATTCCTCGTAAAGTTTGTAGTTATTCTGTTTATTTCTCTCGTTTACGGTATGGTGGATGCAGATTCTATTTACCGGTCAAATGTATTGTAACTTTAGCTCACTATCTCGTCAGAAAGAACATGGAAGAGGGGTATAAAGCTGTGGGAAGTGAGGAGCATTTTAGCGGGAGAAAAGGACTATTTGGAAGACACGAGAAGTAGCGAAGCGAATAGGAGAGAGAAGTGAAGAGAAGTGAACAGAATAAAAGTGAAGAGAGGAGAACGGGGAGAAGGGAAGATGAGAAAGGAATCAGAGCGAGAGTAGCGTTTGCACGCGGCTGGACCACGGTACAGACATCGGACAGATACACAGCCCGGCCAGGCGAGGCCAAAGGGAGAGAGACCTGGGTTTTCGTAAGCCCGAGGAAAGAAACAAAGAAGCTTTGCTTGCCGCACTTGAAAAGGAAAGAAAGTAGACACCTGCACCGACGGAGCAATGGAATAATACCACGGTTCTTTGTGTTTGTCAGAGCTAGGTGACAACCGAGATAAATGGAGCGGGTAAGCACAAGACGGTCGGAATAGCACGGCATCTCAATGGCAGTCCGGAATGGCGGCATCTATGGAAGGACAAGATCTGGAAATGGAAATGGGATTAGGGGGGTGAACTAACCCTTCCTCTCCGAACAGCACCGTTGGCTCTGTTGGAATGGGCGAAGGCGTTTGATTCCCACATACGCCTCGCATGAGGGTCGATACTGTCAATGTTTACCGCGCCTCAAACCACGCGAGGGCACTGTGCCAGTGCTCAAATTTCCTGTTCGGTGGCTAAACCCTTGCTCTGATCCATGCTGACTGCATCGGTGGAGGAGCGCAATCACCACCAAGACACAAATCTTATGCCATAGGTCCTAAGACATGACTTTTCGGGGCACGCACATCTCGGCAAACCGGTGAATCTGCTCGGTAAGTACACGGAGTGGAATGACAGGGAAAGAGCGCCGAAACTCGCGAACCTTCCATCAGACTGTTGGTAAAACAGTAGTATGTCAGATACCGGAATCAGAATGCATGCAGGGTGTGCAGTGGTTTATAGTTTGGAGATTGTCGGAGGAGTGCAGTATTATGTTTGGAATTGAAGCGAGATCTAGTTAGCTTTGGAGAAAGGCGAAGCAGGAAAGTGTCGGTGGTTTCATTAGTTAGTGTTGAAGGCTAACACGATAGTTTGTGATGGGATGACGCAGGCTTGTGTCGGATCAGAGAACATGTGGAACATATCAGGAGGATGGTGACAAGTCTTGTTGGAAATGTCTTTGTCTTGTGATACCGAGGGAACCAGGTATGGAAACCAGAGTGGAAGGCAGTGCAGGGATCTTGGAGATGTTTTTATTTTCTTAGAAGACAAACTGTGTATATATAGGACACCTCCAGTATGGTAGAAAGAATAAGGACCACAAGCCATTCTCGTACTATCATAGCCTATTTTGAAAAAAGAGAGCAGGTTTCGTGCGGGTTTGGGGGCTGTAAGGTTTCGGTAGTGCTAGAGATACGGCCGGTAGGGTGTAGAGGGCAGCGCTCCTCCTAGGTGATTAGTATCATGTATAGAGACCTAATAGGCGGCACCGCGAAAGCTACCCACGCATAGTGCACCCTCTGTCCAGCTACCGGCACATGTCCGACAATATCCGGTCGGCCAATGATTTGTTTGCTAAATAAATAGTATTACACATTGGATAGTTAGCTAAAATGAAGCAAGACATAACCGCCTCATACCGTACGGCACTGTACGGTACTCGAGTAGTACTCGAATACGGGTACAGAAAACTCATAATACCGTTATGGCAACACAATCTCGCTTTCTCAGCTCTTGCGCCAAACATGCGGCTCAGTCCGATCGCATCCGTAGCTGCTTCTAATATTCACTCTGGTTGCACGGCTTGAAAGCAACGACGCCCATACCCTTCCTATTTTTCCACGCTTAAGTTATCAGGCCACAGGAGGCCACAGGAAAGCCCCACCCTACTGCTCACTTCACAGCTGCGGCCTTTGGTAGCAGCCTTTCCTCCAACACTCCCCAAGAGCAATGAGCATGCCGGATTCAAACCCACGGATAGGATTCTGGCTCGAGCTCGAATTTTCGATATCACAAGTCACACCGCGCTCCCCTGTTGCGTTTGCTCGCGAATGCTTGCGAAAGCCCCGCCCTGAATCGCCATTTCCAGAAGCCCCGACTCAGCCTCCCTCAAACCCCTTCTTTGAAACTCAGACTCGAGTACTGGTAGCGTTACACCGGTCGGCGGTACTTGTACTGTACTATAAATCAACCGCATCAGCCGGCTCTGGTTGCTGAAGGGGGGAGACCGGTGCGAAGACTTTCTATTCCGCCCATAGTGCTAATGTTCCCCGACCATTACAGGTGGTGTCGGTATAGAGAAGGATTGGCCCATGTAAGGTTGAGAATTTTAGGGTGATGGCCTCCGGTCGGAATCTAAGCCGTCAGAATTTCTCTTTTCATTGGGGGGGGGATAGAGTCGGAGCTTCCCATGACTTGAGTTGTCATACCCCATTCACTGGGCATTTACCGATACGATACCCTGATCATGCCAGCCTCGTGCGACCTTCAGTAAAACTTGTCCTATTTTAATTAGGGATTCCCTCAAATGCATCCCCCACCCTGACGCATGCTGACACAAGACCACTGGTGATCATGGCCCTCACGAAAGTACCCAAGTACAAGTACGATCGCTACAATGCTAGGGTAACGCGCGCCCCTTCACAGCCTTCACGGTCCGCGTTGGTCGAATCCTAGATCTCTAATTGCTCTTTAAGGTGGGGTTACAAGCTTGTTTTGTCGTGAAGATAGGGTAGCCTTTTATTTGAGAAAAGTGGGCGGTAAGAGGCAAGGGCTTCTTCCAACGATGGGCGAAGCAATTCTATCCATGTATCGCTAAACTGGCTCAGTTTTCCGACAGGCTTCTGATAGAAAGTGGCGACAGTGGAAGCCTTGCAAAGTGGAGGAAAACGCTTGTGCGGAGGTAGGAACTGATGTCTTCGGCAAGTGGTCTCCGGCCACTTGTTCCCTCTACATACACAGTCGCGGCCCTGCTATACCGAACATGATATGCCCTCCAGCTGAACCCTTGTATCCTACCCACAACCACCTGAGATTACATCTCCATCAGCTGAAGCTGATGGAGTACCGTACCGTACCGGTATTCCAAAATGCACGTCCACTTCTAGAATACAGTTGGGGTGTTGTTGGCTTATCGTCTCCCGTATCATGTAGTGTAACGAGACATGCAGTACAGTACATGGCAGTCACTACTTTTTGCTTTCACTATAACTAAAGTCCAATCAATTCGCGGGACATTTCCCAGACCACCAGGAAGCCAGCCATATGAGGATCGGGTGGCGGTACAGTGTAGCCTGCTTATCTTCGTAGTCTTCCCCTCCCAGGCTGCGAAGATTTCAGAGTTCCCGGTGTGGATTTCCTTATTTGCTACTTCCCCGAGATGCTATAGCTTTGATACCCATCCCGTACCCTTATCTCAAACCACTGGGCTTCACCAAATTTGAATAGCTCGCGATAGGGGTACATCCCATAGCTGCCTCAAAACCGGAGGATTATCCATCTCCATATCCAAGGTTGAGCCCTGAGCTTCTCGTTCTACAAGTTACCTAGCCTTTGATTTGTCTCAGGTCGCGCGAAACAACTCTGAACCATCCTACATACATCGGTTGGCAACAAATAGCCTATCTTTCCCGTTTCAGGCACTGTAGCGACATCAGGTTACTTCTTTTACACGGGCTTCGGAAACTCCCTCACAGGTCAAATACGCGAGCACTTGATGGATAGGTGTGCTCCCATCTTCTTCAATGTTCCCAGTTTGAAAAATAACAAGCGCCTAACAATCTGCCCAGAAAACCGCAGGCCGATATCAGTGGAAACTTCAGCGGGAATTCAGGGGACCACAGTGTTTTTGGTAGTAATAATATTGGCAACTGGAACACGGGAAACCTGAACCATGTTACCAATCTATATCAGGGGTGCGTATTTGGAGTTGGGGACAGAGGTATTCTAAACTTTCAGGCGAGATTTCAGGTCAAAATCTAATTGCTATTACAACTAGAAGAAGCATCTAACTTAGGCCTTATCGGATAATTCCCTATCGCAGAAATAGCAAGTTCAAGGGCCGTAAAGATCTCATTGAGTTGATAAAGAGGCTTTCCGAGGGTAGTGGCCAGAACCGGATAGCACTTCATGGATTAGGCGGTTCAGGGTGTGTCTTCATTATCGCTTCAAGTATTTCGGGGGTTTGCTAACACTGCCTAGAAAGACCCAAATTGCCCTCGAATACGTCTATCAGCATGCAGGCGGGAGTGACTGTCATGTTTTCTGGGTGCACGGGAGTGGGGCGCAAAGGTTCAGGGAGGGTTTCAGAGCTATTGCGCATCGTGTTCGGATCCCACCAGCCAGCGCCGATACGGACCGAGAGGAATTACTAGCTAGTATAAAGAGGTGGTTTGAAGGACCAGACAGTGGTGACCGGATACTAGTTATCGACAATGCCGATGACGAGGAGGACTTTATTGGAAACAGCGGGCCTATCTCAAAATTTGTACCACAAGGCCCACGGGGTACTCTAATATTCACCATCAGATCACTCCGGGTTGCATCTTGGCAGGATTGCGAAAGGGTTGATGTCGGGAAAATGGGAGAGGATGAAGCCAGGGTGTTGTTTCTGAAACGCTACGGTAACAGGAAGACTTTGAGAGAAGAGGAGAATGAGGCCATCGCATCAATCTTGGGCTCCCTACACCACATCCCGCTGGCTATCGTGAGAGCAGCAGTCTTCATGACGGAAACCCAGATATTGCCATCCGTATACTTGAGCATTTTTCGGGGAAGCGACGAACAAGCTAAAAGACTACTTTCACAGCCATTTTGTGACATACAACGCGAGGCGGATATGACCGAAAGTATCCTAGCCACGTACTTTATCACAATTGACCGAATCTCATGGCAGATGCCCCTAGCGGCGGAACTCCTGCGTTTAATTGCCTTCTTCGATCGTCAGAACATACCCGAAGAGCTACTGAATCAGAGTGGTTTGGAAGGGGCGGACGATCCAATCGAGTTTCGTCAGGCCATCGGAAAGCTGTTCGGATTTTCGCTAGTTACAAGTGTCAAAACTCAAGACAAGACCCTTTACGAGCTTCACGGTTTGGTCCAGCTATCTTTACAGGCATATCTACCAATAGAGGAGTTGAATCGATGGAGGGCCACTGCGCTGGGAGTGATTTCAAGGCTGTTCCCGGAGAATTGGAACACGGGATGTGTTGGTTCTACATACATTCCACATGTACTTGTAGTTACGAAACATTCAACGGACCCTGTTGCCGAAGAGCTTTGTTTTCGCCTGGGACGGTACTTTATGGATATGGGTTTCTACAATGACGCGGAAGTTCAATTGCTTCGATGTACAGCACTGCGGGAGGAGAGTAACGAGTATGGCTGGGATGAGGAAGGTGCAAGTAGGGTCACGCTCCTGGGGAGGGTACACGTATATCAGGGAAAGGTAGATGTGGCTGAGAAGATGCTTCGGGAGTTATTAGAGGAGATTGAGGGATCGTTGGGCCTAAATAGCCCTATGGTTCTACAGGCTTTCTATAGCCTGGCTCTGGCAGTACGAGACCGTGGAAAGTACGGTGAATCGGAGGCGGTGGGTCGGCGTGCACTGGAGGGGCTCGAGAAGATTCTTGGACTACACCACCCAGACACCCTAACAAATCTCAACAACCTAGCCCTTGTGCTACAATCCCAAGGAAAGTACCATGAATCAGAGGAGATGAATCGGCGTGCACTGGAGGGTTATTACAGAATTCTTGGACCAGACTACCCGCACACCCTAACAAGTCTCAACAACCTAGCCATTGTGCTAGAATCCCAAGGAAAGTACGATGAATCAGAGGCAATGAATCGACGTGCACTGGAGGGGCGCGAGAAGTTCTTGGACCAGACCACCCGGACACCCTAACAAGTCTCGGCAACCTAGCCATTGTGCTTGAATCCCAAGGAAAGTACGATGAATCAGAGGCGATGAATCGACGTGCACTGGAGGGG